TACTGAGTTTATGAAAACTGATATCAAATGGGCAAGTGATTTTGATCTGAGTTGTCCAACTGCGATGCTGGAACTGGACACAGAGATTTGATGAACAACAATATTTTTGAAACTTGTTTTTTTTCTGTAAGCGCCAGGGAAGCATACGACTTCCACGATGAACAACTCCGTAGCAATAGGCGGTTCAGGACTTTCCCCGCCTCCCATTGCCGCTCGTACTTGCTTCATCGCTGTCCTCGGAATGCTGATTGTGGGTGGAAATGTACTGTGTATTGCCGTGACGCGTGACTTCACTTCAGTTTTGATGACTTCACTGGCCGTGTGCGACATCTTAGTCGACGTTTAAGCACTCTTCTGCATCATCTCTTCAGCGCTAGACCGTTGGCCGTATGGCGAGGTTGTTTGTAGAACTGTCACCGGTGTTGCCACCGTGTGTATCGGTTTGTCATTTCTCTCGCTTTTGTACCTAAACATTGAGCACTTCATAGCCGTCACCTGGCCCTACAAATTGCCTATAATGGTGTACCCGGCGACGCATCATCATACTTATAATTGCATCCTTAACCCTTTTACTCTCAATGTCAATACCTACCCTAATCTTGGCTCTGTTTTCTGCAAACTATTTTCCGGTTCCGGCCCCATGTTTCATTAAGAGAGGTTAGACTTGTGTGAACCTTCTGTTGCTTGTTTTTACCGACATTGGTCCGACCATCGTGATGACATGCCTCTAATCGCGTCTGCCGTATTTAGTCTGGAAGACGGTGGAGGGTTTCACGGGGAACGCCATTCCGCGTTGGCTGGAGTTCATCCTAACTTGGTTGCCAACGTCCAGTTGTGCCTTCAATGTATTCATCTATTGTCTATTCCATCGGGTTTATCGGAAAACGGCGAAGAAAATCCTAGCGGAGAGATTTCCTGCTTTAGGGGCTCTGTTGCACCGGTCAATATGTAATTGGTTATCAAAGTTACGACAAAGGCAGTGAATAACAGAAAAGTAATGAACGGAGCCAACGCAGTCATTATAGTAAATGACTTTTCCAACCAACAGAACAAAAACAACTGCCTGCTGTTGCGGTCTGATAATTTAGGACGTGATAACCATGGGTTAACTACAAAGGCTATCATATCAAAATATAAACTAGAGATGGTTAGCAAATAACAAAATAGCAACAAGATTTTGCCAGCTGGGATGGTAACAATAGCTGAATTTTGGGGTCCAGGCCTCTAAACTCATTGTATTAATTCAGTTTCTATCCTTGGCTATAACATTAATATTGCCCTCTAAAAAATGCTAACATTTGCCGGCACTAGTATTACATCTTTTAAGCCTTCGATTCGAAACACTCAATGGACGGCTGAAAGTTATCAGAAACATTTGTTGGTAGACTAAGAGACTGGGAAACTTTTAACCTAAAATCCTGGTGTACACAATATATTCAGCAAATTATCAAAAAAAAATGAAGAGCCAGGGATCAATTAATCTGAAGAAATAACGCCCGTCTTGCTAAATGGAATTCGCGAGATCGTCCATGACAATGGGAAAACTGATTATTGAGCAGTAACTCATGGATACATATTTTCAAATGTCACTTATTATTCCAGATATATTATATTCATTATAAATGTACATAGGTGCACGATAACAAAGTACGTATATCTGAAGGGTTGTTTTAGGTTATATTGCTTTTGTGGTCAAAAAAACCCGTGCAGTATTTTTATGTTTCAATAGAAAGGGAAAGTATTCAACCTTGCTCCGACGCTTATCCGAACCAAACAGAGCGAAATGACACGATAATGTAAATACGAAGATAAATATTAACTGTGTCTTTTTTTACTTTCTATTGGGGCCAGACTGTGTTTTATGGACAGGAAGTCAGTTGTATTTGCAATGAAATATTTTTGAACTCGATTTAAAAAAGCATATACATCTGTTACCGTTTTGTTCGAACTGCTGATAATGCAACTTTTTGTTTGACATGTAGAAAGCCTGCTCAGCGAGCAAATAAGGTGAAGTTAAACTTCAACTTGGTTGCTGAACTTACTTTAAGCATAATGTTAAGACTAGCGAAAAGCGGAATAAGTAAAAAAGAAAGTGATTGGGTTAGATACAATATATTAAAAGAAATGCTGCTCGCTCCATTCAATAAAAATAACATCCGAATAATAAATTGTCCGGTTCATAATGTATTTTCTTTGTTTGATCCTTTTTTTGATTAGCAAAACTATACATTAAAAAAAAAACGTTAGGATCTGCTGAATCCCAAAAAAAATGTCCATATTTTTTCAACTTTATTATGTCGGCGATCTTGAGGGGATGGGTTAACGGGGAGCTGATCTAACACCCTACTCCAAGATCTTGGCTGTGCAAAGAGAGATTGTGTTGAAATGTGGAATACTTGCGAAGATAGCACTGCTGAGTACATCTGAGTCTCAGCATTTTGTAGTTACCTTTATTTATAATTCAAACGACAAATGAGCCGTTTAATAATAAAGTACTGGTTCATGTTATTTTATGTAATTTGCATACTCTATTTACAACTTGTTTCAAAGTAGAAGTACATGTACTACACAATTCGCTTTTCCACTACTGATTATAAATGGATACGCATTCACGAATACCCTTTAAATATAACTAACGAAAGTGTGCAAGGAAGCAGTCTTCGTATAGCAAATGTTAAATCTACTCAGTCACGAAGGCCAAGTATCATGTATAGTTGCATTTTTTGCGTGTATAAAATGCACTGAAAAGCACACACCCTATATAGCATATTCTATTATATTCGAGTATTGCCACCTGCAATCCCGGCCAAAATGGTTGGGACACTTCCTGAGCCTGCCAAGGTCACCCACTCCCCCGCTCCCCCGCTCCCCGGTCAATGTGTTCTCTCCAGCTGATGGAGCACACGCCGCGCAATGAGAGACAACATTGAACGGTTACCCAGCGAGACTTGGCCAGGATTGTTGGATTGCAGCAAAGACAATATGTACAACTGGGAGTGAGAACCAATGTTTTTTCCCCCAACACTTTACCGGCTGGCAATGGGAATTTTGTGATGGAACTTTTATAATGCAATCCTTAAAATCCATTTTGCTTACGATAGCTTAAAGGCAATATACAACATTTGCAAACTTCAGGCATTATTATGAAATACCTCACTGGACTTTTAATAAAATGACAGTGTAAATTATCCTGTAAAATCATGGCACCTGGTGTGCTGGTATTTTCAATAAAAGGGCTATTTTTGTATCAATTTCCAACGCTGGTCGTCCGACCAGCGTTGGAAAAAAAACTGGCTTTTTGTAAATACCGCTTAATTCCTAATTTATCATATTTAGTTAGTCGGCATTTCGTTTGCAAATCGATTACATACCTGAGAACGGGTACAACCAGCTAGACTGAATCCCTGACCTTACAACTCCCTGAAGTCGATAAATTGCTCCGTTTAATCGTAAGTGGGGTCAGGGCACCAGACTACAAGAACATGATTGCTTTTCTTGGGTTTTTTTCTCCAGAATCTACGAACCCAAAAATTCAAGTCAGTGTAACAATATTTGCTATAGGACACTAACACCCAAAATCCATTTCTGAAAAGTACAGCAAAATCAAATGTTGTATATTCCCTTTAAACTTATTCCCTGGATGGTCACTTAAAGCTTCTGTATGAAATACGGTCAACCGAAGCTTAACTTTACCACCTGCGGTTCTGCGTTTTCCTGATAAAATCACAGATTTCACAGAAAGAACGCTGAGACATTTAATACTTCTTTCCAAGATATCTCATTATGGAAATACGTCTTGTTCTGACATCGTATCTCGGAAGACGCCTTTCCGTGATACCTGGACGACAATCATCTGTAGTTGTTGCATTACGTGCGCAAGCTGATTTTCACGAACAACTGTCGGTTATGTCCGACATCCCTTGGGTTATCTCACGACGCCCATGTTGTCAATGGTAGAATCTGCTACGATCGAAAAATAAACAGTCTCACCTCGCACTAACACTGCATTCCCCTCTCCTTCTTCCCTTCTTATTCACCCTCGGAATGGGTCTGTTTGGAAATGCGCGTCGTGCCCATGAAAGGGGAAAGATTCACAACATGTGTTTTTGATTCCTTTACTTTAATTCATAAATCTCCCTGCTGTCTGAATATTTTTGTTGTTGTCTTGCTCCCTTAACCTGCCGCGCTCTTGGATAACCACCAAGGCCTGACTCGTTTGTCTAACGCGCTTTTGTGTGACTTGATTGACAGTTGACGATAACGCGGTCCAAGTAGGGTTCTTTCTTGTTATTTCAATAAAATTCCACACAAAAGAAACTGTGAGGAGGGACTAACTTCTGAAAATTAATATAGACATCATGTAAATATTGTTAGTATCATGATCTAAAGAATATTACGTCTAGCGATACTAAACATAGTGAGAATGGTTTAACCATCTTAACTTTTTAGCCTGACGGAACACTTAAAAAATGTCAAATACCAGAATGATGCTGTAATTTGCAATTAAAGTTCAATATTAAATGTTTACATATATCCTTCCGGACAATGTGTCACCAACTATTCTACACTCCAGACATTTGTTTCTGTTAGTTATTAATTTTAGAATGACATGAATTTGAATCAGTTTTGTCTAATAAGCACTGTCATGTTGCGGTTATTTAAAAAAGCTATAAAGGAGAATAAATATTTGAATTTAGTAACATTCAATGGATCCGTAATATCATGTATCGGAAATACATTTTATGACTGAAAAACTAACACTTTTCGAAACCACGACAGTCAAGCTTTGCCCATATTGAACGTAAATTGCATAATGAAAATGAAAACTACGTCCAGAAATTAATACACATATTTAAAGGTACATTTGCAAGGTTTTAATGTGGCTTTGTAAAATGATACACTTATATAGGACGTCGAAAATAAAGTAACCCACAACGAGATAGTATGAACAAACTGTGAACATGATGACTATAATTATCAACATGATGAATATAATTATACTATGGTCCGTAAGCTTTCATTGATATCTTGCATGCATGCCTCTGGTCATGCATTTGAGTTTCAATGTTGGACAATTGTATGTAAATCTCAAAGGAATCTTCGTGTAAAATGACTTCTAAGTTAACTACACTGGATTCGTTATTGTGACTTGTGTATTATTTTAAGGGATGTAATGAAAACGGTTTTCAACATTCCACTTCCCAACCTTACAGGTTTGCATTTAGCACGAGATTGAGAAGTTACGTGATCAACACCCAATGTTCAGGTGAATTGGGCCCTGGAAGAAAAGCACCACCGATGAAGACTTTGTGTAAGAAGCTAGGTGGATACCTCGGGATGCATGTAAGGTGTTGGATTCTGAATGATTAAGATTATCAAATAACGGAACAGTGATTCTGTGTTTTTTTGTGGTTTTTTTTCATGCTTAATAAAGTGAAATATAAACGCTTGAACCCATTCGCTTATGTCTGGCTGTGTGCAAAACCGAGTTTACTAAAAATTTAACTCAAAGTCTATAATAAACCATTTTTAAAACAATGGAAATATGGTACATGACCAGAGGTCTACATCCAGGGTATCAACGGAAAGGTCATTACTCCTGGTTTTTGGTAAAACATCATTATGGTTATTCGCAGTTAGTTAAAAATTATCTCTCTATCTGTCCCTCTGTCTGTTGCTCATCTTTTTTTATTCGGGCTGACACCCTGAATTTTGTATTATGCAAAACACGTTTAAAAAGCAGCGTACCAAAACAATGCACGTCACACTGCTATGCCAAGCACCACAGTAACGAACATTGGGTATTTTACGATTCTCTTTGGCGCCTGATAAAGTTGGCCAAAATGTGCAATTGCGAGCGAAAACTGAATAGCAAATAATTGTGTGTGGATCCCGATGTGTTTGGTAGCGAAAGAGTTCTCCATAAAGGTTTGGCAACAACACGTAAAAGATGATAGCCTGACTACCGGACATAATCGCATCAGAAAGCCTATGTATTTCTTACTTGAAAGGAGTGAAAAATTCAGGTATACTTTCGCTACTTTTGTAATGATCCGTGGGCGTCCAAAATGTTGATGCACTCTTGGTGGCTCGCTTCTACAGCAAGATCTCGAGCTGTCTGCCTTTTCAGCACAGTTCGAGCACTGATGTCGCAATTTTCCTGAAACACAAACGTCATTGAACAATTAGGTATTTCAACATTTTACAGCATAACATAGTCCAGATTTTTAGGCCTTTTATATTGTGCAGCAATGCATCTGCTGGTATGCATAAAGAATTATATTTCATTTGACAAGTGAAACATTAAAAAAATAAGCTGAAATTTCTGAATTTTAATGGGCAGGTTTTTGAAAACATGAATCGCGTAGAAAATTGTGGCAAGTTTGATTTTCTCTGGTTTTCAAAATTACTATTTTTAAGGCAAAATGAACCACATTCCGAATAAATCTGACCTGTTTGAGTAATGTCTTTACAATCTCTGTGTAGCCATTGGTAGCAGCGAGGTGCAGCGCCGTAAAACCATCACGTTTAGCTATGTTGATCATGGACGGTAAACGTTTCAGAATCTTCTCGACGGCACTATAGGAAAAACACATTATTGCGTTTCAAATACCAAGTTGGTATTGTGTTTGTTGGTACGGGGGATTGAGGTGCATTCAATCACTATAATTACAAGCACAGCCAGGATCACGGGCAAACGTGGGCAATTCCATATCTCTATAATGTACTCGAGTTTTATAATTGTATATTTTTTTCAGTTCGATTTATTTTAACAGTGTTATTATAGCTAATCTGTGAACGATTTACAACTTACATTGAAATAATGATTTTTTCAATCCATCCAGATTTATATATCGCAAAGGTGTGCAATATACTTGGGCCTTCCTTCGGTGCCTGTGCCTCTCCCACTCTCTCTAACAGAACCGAGCGGCTCCATTCAGAAGGCAAGCTTTTAATAGCTGCAAACTCATCAAGTGTCACATCAAAACAAAACAAAATTGTTACGTTTGAGCCGGTCGGCCGACATGGTGCGCTTTTCCAATTTGGCGTCTGGACAAATGCCCCTACCAAAAAGACTGGGTCTTTATTTTTATATTTATTGTAGTTTATAGTTACATGTTTGCATGGTAAAAGAAGTGGTTCGTTTTACAATTTGTTTTATTGTTTTGTGCTAATAATTAGTTATACAAAAGAAGTGTTTCAGCAGACATCAGGGCTTGAGTGTGTTATTCTGATTTTTTACCAAAACCCTCCATCCCCCAATCCTAAAAGGACCAGGGCGGAATCCGCCCCCTCCACCCTCAACTTTTTTTTCCGCAATACCCTTAAAAATCGCGACCCGAGCTGTTCTGACTTTTTAGCCTCGAGTCTTGCGCATCTTTTGATACTAAAAACATAAAATTCGGATCACGGGTTGCCGCGCGGTGAAAAAAAACCCCTGATTTTCCCCATATAAGTAGTGTACACAAAGCAGAATTACTATTCGTGCATTATGAATAATTAATTAGCCATAATTCCAAAACCCTTAGACCTATAGTCATGAAATATCTTGGGTATGTTTCTGATAAGTTGTTCTATGCATGTACCAAGTCTGATCTCATTGGCTTGATCCACACTACAGCCTATCATTCAGCAGCAAACGGCATGGTTAAATTATTACATCGCCAGTCCCAGGCTTTGCTTAAAGCGCAAGACGATCCAACGAAATGGACAGAAACTCTCCCACTTATCATGGGGGAATTCGTTCTCCATTTGGAGACTGCCATGCCAATTCTTGGAGCCCGACACTCAGGCTGCAACTATGTTGGAGCTAGTATGTTGACCGGGCTCAATTAGGCATTCACGTGTCAGCTCCATCCAACCAAGGGCGGATCCAGGGGGGGGGGGGGCAAAGGGGGCCATGCCCCCCCCCCCAAAAAAAACGAAACCATTTTTTTTTGTGTTTATGTGACATCGCAATAAAGGCAGGCAATGAGTACACCACCATCTTTTCCTCAAAAAAACATTGGTTAAAGTGGTCAGAAATTGCCTCAGATCGCATCACAGAGATCATCTAGAATCCAAAAAAAATTCGGGGCCCATAAGCGGGCCCCGAACCCCACGCCGTAATTTTTTTGACCCACTTTTTTGGGGGACCAACATTTTTTGGCCCCCCAAAAAATTGTGTTCTGGATCCGCCCTTGCATCCAACACCGCCTCGTCCACGGCATGTATAGCAACAGCGATCCCTACACATATATCCCAAAGAACCTGACTACATGTACACATGTTTTTGTGCGTTATTATGGAATACACAAGCCAATTCAGCCACATAATAAGCCATACAGGGTTATCAGCCGCGCAGACAAAAGCTTTTATCATTGACATCACTGGCCACACAGACACTATAGTCTACATATTTGGAGGAGCGTCATTCTGACACTCTTATTCTGTCTCGCGCAACCGAACCAATGATTACTCCATCTATGGGACAGAACACGATCAGGTCGCCATGTGCATTGGTCTCAGACACTAACGCATTACATTCATTAACTTCATTAGCATTCACTTGTAAGGGGCTGCTGCAGTAGCAGAGTTGTTGTTAATTTAAGGGCACCCTCTCGTGACAGCCTGTGAAAAGTACGTAAGGTCAAGATCGCTAACGCCTTAATTTTCAATTTTTCGCTCATGTGTCTCTAAAGCTGTGCATAGTGATTTTCGCTGTTTACTTGCCTTGTAAATGAAGTTATTTGTTCCGGATTATAAACCACTCTAAAAACAAATTATTGTCTGCAGCCTCACATGTATTTGTAGCAACCATGTACATACTATTTCTTCCCATGGTAGGCTGCATAATGTAAGGAGTTGAAGCCTATGTGGTTCAGCAGTCTCAGACCGTCATCTGTCGTGTGTTCTATCAATAAACCTAACATCGCCTTGTTATCTCCCGGACGTCCAATTGCGATTAACAATGGTGTGTCTCCGTTGATGTCCTGTCAATTTAAGAGGAAAAACCACGTAACAGGAACAAAATGTACCTTTTCAGTAGGGCAATCAAGTAACGTTATTAAGAGACTTGGAAAGCCTAATAAAGCTGTTTTTTGAAATAGATTGCACACGTACTCAGTGTCCGTTCTACTGTCTTTTATATTATTTCATAGCAGCGGGGGGTACCAATATTGAAACAAATTGTACAAAACGATCCAGCTGATCCAGTCAAGTATTTAGTTTACGTGAAATTGCCGTTTTACTATATCTTTGGTAACGTTATATAAACGTATCATACTTAACTAACCTGGCTATTCACATCACACTTTTGCACTTGGGAACTCAGCAGTGCTTGTACACATTTGTCATTAGCCTGACCAGCGGCTGCATGGAGAGGAGTGAGTCCACGTTCCTCGGATGTGTTTGGGTTGCTTCCGACGAGCAGGAGGTACTGGACAACATCTGGTTTGTTTCTATTGAATGATTGATTATAGGCAGGCTAAACAATATGATTTGCCAAACTCAGACAAGTATTTGCTGGAGGTATTGGATCACTAATAAGGCACATTTCCTTTGGAAGTCCTGATGTAATTCTAACGGTAACGCACGGCTGCAGGAAAATATACGACAAACTTAAGCTGGACTTATGTTTCAAAATTGTGGTATTTTGAAAGTTGCAACATTTTTGTTTACTTAACGGCTAAAGGTATAGTCGTTAGTGCAGTCTTGTCAACATTATTTTCTCGAAGTACTCAGTGTCACTAAATTGACCACTGCCAGGGACATCTGACCAAAGGTTATGATGTGACCGGTCAATTCGCTGTTTGATTGACAGGTAGAAAGGGTCCATACAAACTGCTCACCCCACAGCAGCAAACATGAGGGCGGTATCTCCATATGTATCCTGTTGTTCAAGGGGAGCGTTGCCTTCTACCAAAGCATGAACGACATCAAGGTGGCCGTGATGAGCAGCCAAGTGAAGTGCAGTTACGCCCTGCTGATTCTGATAATTTGCCTACCCAAAATATAAAAAAGGTGGGTTTCTGTGGGTGTGTGTCCAAGCATTACATTCACTGAGTTGACTTCCGAACAAAAGAGGTAAACATAAACCAGGTAGCAGCAACGTAGTGTGGACTTGCCCATGTCCACACAGTGTTTCCCCCTCTCTGGAAAAAAAAAGGTTAAGAGGCATTTTGGGGTTAGGTTTATCTATTACAAAATGAAGAGAAACACTAAAGGGAATCATTGGTTGGAAATGGGTTGAAAGATTTTTTGCAGTGTGAGTAAATTTTTTTATTTTTTTACAGATGTTCTGAACTACACGAACAAAAGAGGAATGTCCACACATGTGGGCGTGTTCATCTATTCAAACTGTGGACGAAAAATTCCAGAGAACAAAAGAGAACAAAATCGTCCACGATTCCCAGCATACGTCCGCGATTAGGGTCGTGTACAAAACATATGGGAGTCTTCCCAAAAAATTGGAGTACTAACAAAAGAGGGACAATAGGACGTCCACCATCGTCGGTGTGAGTAGGTTTATGGTGTAAATCGAGGACAAACACGTGCAGCATCATCGGTGAATCGAGGACAGGAACCAAATCGAGGACGACCTCGATTGAAAACGTGTACAAAACCAATAAAAGCTGTTGCGAAAAAAATAGTACAAACAAAGGAAAAGGAAAGAGGAACGAACGAAACCTTCGATTTACACCATAAACAAACGTTGGTTAACATGGGTGGATGTGCGTGTACAAGCATGACATTCACTGTAACAAAAGATGTCCACATAAACGAGGCAGCAGCGACGTTGTGTGGACTTCCCCACGTCCACACATGGTTTTCCCCTCTCTGGAAAGCAGGTTTAGAGGCATTTTGGGGTTAGGTTTATCCGTGGCAAAATGAGGAGAAACACTAAAAGGGATTAATAAAAAAATAGCTTGAAAGAGTTTTCACAGTTTGAATAAAATAAGTTGTTTCACTGGTTTTTCTTAACTACACGAAAACAAAGGAATGTCCACATAAGGTATGTCAAACAATCAGGTGTGTGTCTTTCCATGCATTAAAGGGGACATCCTCCTGAAATCAATTCAAGATTTTTTTTACTCATACCTTTGAAGAGACCTGGTTAAAAGGAAAATCACCTAGTGCCTCACTGTTTCCGAGAAAAAAAAGATAGAAAAACTCTGCGGACACTTAGTTGACTACGTCTATGAAAAATATGTTGTGTTGATTTTTCTTACCACATCAGGATGGTTGGTAAGGATCTCTTTCACTTCACTGTCATCCCCAACTATCGCTGATTGGATGAGAAGATTACCATTTTTCACGCATGGACCTTTTAAGAAAAAAAAATTAAAGAAATCTTACAAGTTTGTGCATAATTCACAAAGTATCTATATATATCAAATGGGCAATATTATAATTCGTTTAGACTGTGGGCTGAATAAGAGCAAGTTAAGGCTAGGAGTATGAGTAGCCAAAGCTCGACTAACTCACTAAAAGTCAGCGTTGATGGACTGATGGAGTTCAGTGTTTGTAACCTGACCACATGGCACTATTGTATCATAGAGCTAGGACCCAAGGAGTTCGAACTCCAAGACTTCAAACGTAAAAGGATGGTCGCCGCGCTCGAAAGCAACAGCAGAACGCCGCGATCGAAAGCAACAACAGAAAGCACCTGCCTGTCAGCTTGCTCAGTTGCTCACTACTCTGATCTTTACGCAATAGAGATCCGTGCTCACTAGTGCTAGAAGAAAGAGTTTTCGTTGCTATGTAGACAGTCCTTTATATGTCTCTCTCAAATTAGTGCAGCAGATAACTGTAACCATCTTTCAAATGTGGATACAAGCACCAAAATCTGTATGTTCATCCCCCTTGAACCATTTATTTGAACAATCCCATTATAAGCCACTTGAATTTTCAAATGGCCGCCATTTTCCAAGATGGCCGCCATTTCCTGCATGAACACCTATTTTACCACACACAATTTTAACAACTGAATCCCACTGTTTTTGCCTATCGGGAAGTCGAATTTACAATACTACAGCTTATTCAGAGCTTCTTTGTGCCATTTCTAACAAATAATGTGAAAATTCATACATAAAAGACCGAATAATTGCAACAGAGGAGAGAGAAAGAGATGCACTCGGTGGTGCAACCACGGGGGACAATTTGGATCATGGCAGGCAGATGAAATGCGAGCCCAAGCCGTTTCAGACTCAGAGGAAGATAAGCGGAATCCCTGACTGCCTCCTCATTCAGCTCAAGAGATTCAGGTTCAGGCCTCCAGGCCACTTTCAGAAGCTCCAGACCATCGTGACTATTTCTGAGTTGCTCTCACTCCAAGGAGCACAGTTTGAGTTGACAGCAATCATCAACCACGATGGGACAACGGCGCTCACTATTACACTCTACTCAAGAAAAGTGGCAACTGGTTCTCTTGCGACGACTCCATGCCCAAAGTGGTGCCATTTGAGCGGATACATGCATGCAGCCCAACAGAAAAATAACTGTTCCTGTCGCTCCGATCCCCGTTCCCTCCAGCCCTATATCCGCTCCCCCTCAGCGGAAGAAAGCTCTGACCACTGACAAGAGGAGCCGGTTGTCAGTGCCACAGGATGTGTCTGCAGCCGCTGTCCGTCTCAGTCCCCTTCCTACCCTTCAGTCACATTTCTCAGAAAGCAGCTGCAGAAGGGAAAAGGTTACAAAGGGAAATTCACAAAAGTGGGGAAAGACACCAGGAACGACTTCAGAGCCAACAGAGAATGGATGCCAGGAGGGAGCAGGAGAGGGTGGAGGACCCGTCGTAGGACAGCTTGCAAGGAGGGAACATTATGTGTTTAGGGACGCACATATGAACAATAGACACAGAAAAGCTTATCAACACACTCACGTCACTTCGCATCTGGCGTGTCAAAGTCGGACAATTCTGGCTGGCACCTAGATACACGAGCCCCCTTGTCCGGAACCTTAAGTGGTATGCCTGCCTCCATCGGACTACACCAATTGCGGTGACCAACAGGCTGTGTTCACAACTACGGTTTCACCGCATCGTCCAGCATCCAGCGATGCGATCGCTGGCTATAGGTTGTGGCCGTATCGCCTGAATGGCCTATTGCATCGCCTGAATGGCCTATCGCATCGCCTGAATGGCATATCGTGAAGTACCCGCCCACGAAGTTCGCCGCGTGGTGACCTCTTTGGGCATTTTCCAAGGAGTGCCCCTTGCAGATAGCATACTAGCGGCATGTTGGAAATCCTCCAACGCCTTCTGTCACCTCTCGTTATCTCGAAAATGTGCTGCAAATGGACGGCAGAACTAGTCGTGCAGTCTAAACTGCCCCAGTGGTGCAACCGGATCCGGTTCCTCCTCCGCTGGCGGCCCAAAGTACCAACCATTGACGGCTTACTCCATTAGGTAAAGCCGATTCATATACGATTTACTTTATTGGGTTTTATTTTGTTGTACGAGAACCCACCTACCTAAAACAGTACTGCTTCTGCATATGTAGCAATACCGTACGGGTAAGTAGAACCCTCAGATTCTACTAGCACATACAAACCCGTTGAGTGCCAACCCCCCCCCCCCCCTACTTTCACAAAGCGCCGCTAATGCCTCTACTACTTACACCACCATGCATGTTAGCCTACCCAGCGCTCGGTTAGCAGATGTTTTTGTTGCATGGCTTAGACAAGGAAGCTTCTGGGTAATTCCAGAGTTCTAAATTCAGCTTCTGCATGGTTACAAATGTATTATTCAACACCCAGTTCATTCAATGAAAGCAACGTCTGGGTGATTTTGTTGAAAAAAAAAATCTTGCAAGAAATGGCGGCCGCTGAATTTTCGAATGGCTAATGGGCTTTATCGAATGAGTAATCCTTTATAGGAGTATTTATGCCGATTTTGGAACTTGTATCCACATTTGAAAGATTGTTTCAGACATATAGTTTTAAAATGGAGCTTAAGGCGGAGCAAAGACTCCACCTCTGTCTTCGTCAACAGTGTCAGTCATGTTCTTAATTAATGGAGCTGACACCGGAAGTAATAGGCTTCGTATTGATTACCAGCCTCAGACATGTAGTTTGTTAATGGAGCTAAATGTAGGCTGAATGTAGTTTTGAAAATGACCTAAATAAACCTGAATAGGACCTAATAGACCTGATGTGGCACCACGCCATTCTATTCTAGCCACTCTTGCAAAAATATGTTGTGTCAACTCATTTAGAATAATTAGTTACAGGATATTTGCATGCATAACCATGCAGCATTCCTTGCTAACCTGTGAAGACCTTACAAGGGCACTGCGTCCTGAAATCCACGAAATGTTCATGTTTTTGAATTGTTTGCTTATCCTATTTCAAACATCTGGTTAAACAACATAATGTCTTACCGTTTCCGGAAAAAAACACACGAAAAACTTCGGTTGTATACATCGAACACGACGGAGTACGTATCCGATTTTTCTGTCGTTTTAGTCACTTTACGATGTACACGTTGTTTATGTCACATAAATTACACACAGCACCAATGCACAAATGTGGTTTCTTACAGGTCAGCAAAAGGCGAAGACAGTCTTTATGTCTGGAAACATAGCTAGCATGAACAGTCCAGCATTCTGGGTGCGAAAAAAGTCGATCCCAAAAGTCGTTCCCTCACGCATATCACAAGAATAAAACCAAAACGCCCACCTTTTGAAGGATATTTTTGTGGTTGTTATCCTGCTTTTAAAGGTTCCTTTAAACAGTTTGTTAAAGGCGTGTTCAGTAGCCCAATTGGGCTCATTCCAGGACACATTTCCCTTTAAGCACATGACATTTCTACTACAGTACCCATGGATTTTACGCTTTAACGCTTTATGACCACTTTTAAAGGGGCCCAATAGGGGAGGCATGGATCTAGAGGGGAGATCGTATCAGTGGCAAAAATGCATAAAACAGTCTCGCGTACTTTTACTTTGTTCTGCACAAGCCAGAGGGCTATATTAAATTACGAGCGCGGACCAGTACGCGCACGCACTATGTCCCGTGGCTCTCAAGCTGGCCAGAAAGCGCTCTAGTCCTTTGTTTGTGCAAGGAGCCATCACGAAATCCGTAGACTATTACTATCGCTATCACTGATACGACTGGCAAGCAAAGACTATTTTATTTAAATTCACTAAATTTCATCATTTGGAAGCTGCGTTGACATTGTTTTTAATAAATTTTATTATAAAAATAGAGTGAAACCTCTAATGACGAAGTCCCCAGGTGTCTTTTTTTGAAGACAACGGACATCGTAGAAAAGGAGAGATCTGCCGAATTTGACGTGAACATCTCCCATACTGTTGACCATCTTAACTTCACCCACTCGCCCTGGAAACTGAGTTGAAAAAGGAAATAAAGGTTAATCTTAAATAACTGCAGAATTCTAATATTGAATTCCGTTTATTTTTTAGTTCACTAATTATACTCAGGCTATATTCAGGATTTAACTGAAACAACACTATGATTTTGCAAGCTCATCCATGTTTTTAATATGTCATTTGTTCAACTTTGAAACTTGGTGAGTTCTTTTTTTTTCTGTTTTTTTAGCTGTTTCGGTGTACACACCGAAACAGCTCTTGTTTTCGTTAAGATTTGTTTTCTTTTTTTCCCCTTCTTTTTCAGACTTTTTCTCCATAGGTTTTACACACGTTTCTTCTACCAGTCCACCTTGGCACTTTTTTTTTTAATCGGATCGACTTCAGACTTGGTACACACTTAGACCACCTCCCACAAATGGTCCTAGAACAAATTCGTGTTTGTGACGTCATGAGGTGTCGGGTTACGTCACATTAAAGATGCATTTTTTCCCATATGTCTTGTACACGTTTTAAAACACTCCAGTTTGGCATCTTCGTAAATCCAATCGACTTTAGACTTAATTCATACTTACACCACCATTCACAGATGGTCCTAGACGAATTTCATGATCGTGACGTCATCAGGTGTCACGTTACTTCACATTAAAGATGCACATTTTCCCGATTGGTTTTGTATACGTTTTAAAACACTCCACTGTGGCACTTTCGTAAATCTGATCGACGTTACACTTTGTACACACTTAGCATACCACACAGATGGTCCTAGATGAAATTCGTGATCGTAACGTCATCAGGTGTCACGTTACTTCACATTAAAGATGCACATTTTCCCCATAGGTTTTGTACATGTTTTAAAGCACTCCACTGTCGCACTTTCGTAAATCTGATCGGCGTTACACTTGGTACACACTTTGACTACCACCCACAGATGGTCGTGGAAGAAATATGTGATCGTGAGGTCATCAGGTATCATGTTACGTAGCATTAAATGATGCACATTTTCCCCATAGGTTTTGTACACGTTTTTCTTCAAACCATACGCTTTGGCACTTTCATATGTTTGAATGACTTTAGACTTAACACACACTAAGACCAGCAGCCGAAGATGGTCCCCGATGATGTGTTACAGATGAAAATTGAAGTAACGTCATCATGACGTCATCACATTTCATGTGACGTCACATTAAAATGGCATTTTCTAAGGCCTATATGTACAGAACCACCGGTCTAATTGATTGTTACTTGATATGTAACCATACCTGGATGTGTTACAGATGAAAATTCAAGTGATGGCATCATCAAATGTCATGTGACGTCCATTAAAGGGGCAATTTTCTATTAAAGGCCTATATCTACAGAACTTTATGCTCGATTTGGTTGTAACTGTATAATGTACGTATAATGTGCTGTAGTTACAGATGGCATTTGTAGTGACGTCAGTAATTGTTCATCACGTGCACAGAGTACCGAAACAGATGAACCTGCAAACAACTAAGTTGTTAAAATGTAATAACAACCTGTGCGATTTTACTGAAAGAAAGTAGCCATCTTTTTTTGTTTGTACCGCTGACCGATATAGCGCGGCGTGATCTTTTTTTTTGCATGGTGCAAGACGACCCAACGTAGGCGTCGGTGCACGTTTCGTCCAACAATTGTTTTTTGAATAGTGTTGTTATGTGTTCACCCTTTTATTTCATTACAACTAGAATTATGCATTACAATTTGTCGGAATTATTCAACTATTATTTTAGATTTAAATGTATTTATCCAAATGGCGTTTTTAAGCCAAAATTGGAATATCGCGATAGCGACTTCCTTCTGCTTACAGGTAATCATACGATTGAGGGCTGGGACGATGGGGTGTGTGCGATAACAATGACGAGGACCTGAGCCGAGTCCTTGGGAGAATTTCGTGTAAAAACCTTATTGGAGCTGTCGAGGAAAAGTTGGAGTACAAACGAAGGGAACAAAAGAAGGAAACAATGGTGGGTCTTTATGTGTCGTGTAAAATAATGTGTGTGTCAGTTTGTATGTGTAGACAAGTATTACATTCACTGTGTGGACTTCCAAACAAAAGATGTCCACATAAACATGTAACAGCGACGTTGTATTGCCTTGCCCACGACCACACGAGGTTTTCCCCTCTCTGGAGAACAGGTTTAGAGGCATTTTTGGGTTAGGTTTATTCGTGGCAAAATGAAGAGAAATACTTAAGGGAATCATAGAAAAACAATTGGGTTGAAAGAGTTGTCACAGTTTGAGAAAAATTAGGGTTTTTTTTTACACTGGTTTTTGTTAACTACACGAAACAAAGGAATGTCCGCACTAGGTATCTAAAACAAACATATGTGTATTATAAATGTTCGCTTAGGTGAACTGTCTAGTGCTGTTAGTTGAAAAGCTGCTGAAACATTATTTAATTGCTATGATAAGTGGTATATATGGGGAAAGTAGAGAGCAATTCAAAAGTCTCAACCGAAGTTGTCCCCTTTAACGACGATGGCTTGGGAATGAATGGAAGACAGATAATGCTCGTAAACGACATTTCCTTAAACAAATACATTTAATGAAAATCACAACATATGGTGAATAAACCAAAGAAATAAAGGTATTTGATTTCATTCAGAAGCATTTATTTCGATAATCTATCGAATTATGCACGGTGCTTTCAAATAAAAATCGTTACTGTTTCGCAGTAGCAAGATTTTGGCGAATGCGCACAAATAAAAGTGGAGAGGAAGAACATACGTGCCGGATTGAGAGGCGCTTAAGTTCAAAATAGAAGAGGCCTGATTGGGACGGAGTCTTGAAAGTACGGGGTGTTTTTTACTTGCATTTTTTATCTTTTCTACCCAGCCGTAATGCTCCTCCTGAATGTCCTTAAGCTGGGTTAAGTCGATGTCCCTCAAACGAACTTTGTCTCCGATTTCGAACAAAGAACTGCATGTTGTTGCATCTGTAGAAGAACACCGGTTAATTTCCATGATTAATTCGTACGGAATATAGGTGAAGGCTGGATGGGCGAGTTGATGCTTCGGTGATTGAATGAACACGGTGATTGCGATCACTGTAAACTATTTTGTGTTTATAACCAAAAACAAATAGCGCCCTCTGATTGTGTCCGCCTTGTCGTAAAACACTAATAGACGCAGATGGTGTTTCGCTTGAAAGTGGTGCTGTTGGGTTATTTCAAATTCTAGTGTAAAACTATAAATACTTTTGTTCAGGATCACCCTTGTATGATTCTGCTAGCAGGGCAACCTTGCTGATCTGCTGGTGTAGCAATAACGATAGAGTGCTTGTTGAGTCCGCATAACAGTAAGGCAAAGTAGTTGTATGTGCCAACAATGAAATTGTTATTATATATAACATACCGAGCGTTGGGAGGTGCTCGATAAAGAATTCCCCGTTGCTTGCTTTCTTGAAGTATTGCAAATCCATTTGTCCCTCAAACCCGCGTCGGTAATAGTTGGAGTTACCTGCAGCCCATTGCACTTTCACTAAGGAACGATAGGAAGTTCGGGAACTATCGGCAGTTTCATGCTTTTCTATTTCTGTAACAGTTCCAACGGACTCCTCTATATGTATCAGAAAGGGAGTAAATAGTACCTTTAACGTTGAAGCAGTTGAGTTTCTTGGAAATCGTTACATTTTCTTTATCTCAATATTTATGACATGCCAGCAGTGAGCATTTTTTCAAGTTGTGTAATTTCTTAAACTTTATTGTATAGCTGCTCCTCAAAATATTTGTTATATTGTAACTAAAAGTATGGGCTCCGTGCACAATCCGAAGTTATTTCGGGCGGGGATTAGTCTGGAATACCATCGCAAGTTAAATTCGATCGAATTATCGCGAGCCAACGACGCTTTCCGCTCCGTTCACAAGTACCACCTCACCGGCAAAGAATGTACAGTTGGGGGGTGACCGAACGACGCCATTTTGCCTGACTGCAATATTTTGCCACGAAGCGCGGTCAGTGCGTGCACATGGTAGAAATCTCCTGATGTACGCGTGTCACACACAAGGAACGGTGCGACATGTATGTGTCCCGCCCATGTGAAATTGTTGCTAGGTAAAAGGGCGCCCTCTTGTTGGCGCACGGAGCCCATGGCTCATCTTTGTGCACATTCAGGCTAAATATGTCGTGCGTACTTCGCGCACGAACCAGTATCCGCTCCGTTCACAAGCACCCCCTCACCGGCAAAGGAAGTACAGGTGGGGTTGACCGACTGACGCAATCTTGCCTGACTGCAATTCAATTGCCGCGAAGCGCGGCTACTGCGCGTAAATAGAACAAATCCCCTGGTGTACGTGCGTCACACACAAGGAACGGTGCGCGTCAACCAGTGAAATGTCCCGCCCATGGGGCGTCGTTGTTAGGTAAAAGGGCCTTCCCTTTTGGTGGCGCACGGAGCTCATAGTACGCACACGCGGTGTCCCGTCCAACTGAAGGGGCTCTCAAAAAATGTTGGCGCACGGAGCCCATAGTATACCGATATTGAGTGGCTCATGATCAGAGTGAAATGGGAGGAATATTATCGCAAGGTAAAATCAGGACTTTTTGTCGTCTCGTGAAATAGAAAATATTGCATATTACCTTCCTAGTAAGCTATAAATACATTGGTAATATTTTTTCCAACTACCATGTGGCGGCCATCTTGGATGTTAAATTGGCCTCAATTTTGGACCTAACTGATATCATAATTCGGATCTGATTGTCATATAAAGTCCGTTTTGGTGGCGAGCCCATTGTGTTTGACACCAAGGAACCAAAGTAAATCTTTGTTGACCGGCTATTCCCAATGGATTGCAGCCAACTTGGAAATTTCAAAATAGCCTCCATTTGGGATTTATTTCAAATAATAACGTTGCATTTGAATGTCAAATGAAGTTTATTTTGTGCCAAACCCCATGGGTTTTTTTGCTACCAAGGAGCACATGTAAATCATTGTTGATGTGGTTCTTCCATTAAATAGCAGCCATTTTGGACATTTCAACATGGCTGCCATTTTGGACATAATAATTTGTGTTATGGACTCAAAGGCATTGGTGGCAAACTCACGTCAACATGATCATGGTCGTCTGAGCATGTGATGCAGATGATTTTGTAAAGGATCTATTGCAAGGTAATAAGTGTTGCCCTTCATCGACTGGATTGTTAATTATTGGTAATATATAAGCGGTATAGTGACAGGATACTGTGCACTTTGTGGTTAAAGCATGAAACTTTGCATGTCAGGTCTTCATGCCATTGAAAAAAAAAGGCATTTCATATCTGACCCCTTGTGACCTTTCTGAGGAGTAAATGGACTTTGTATACCCCGATTGCCCCTATACAATATAAATAGTGCAAAAGAAGTGTATTTTATCAATTATTCTACAGCATGTCATGATTTCAGACCCCCAAAACAATCAAGACCTCTGATATTTATTTCCCCTTTTAAGGGTTGGGCGCAGTCACAAAAAATAAGAGGTACATTATACCAGCATCACTCTCTAATAGTGACAAGCGGGCTTGGTAAAACGAAGGTTAAAATGTGGTTATTCAAGTCCATCTAAATACAATGGAGTGTAGTAAGCAAACAAGATTGAATACTGCTTGACATTTGTAAATATTTCATTGCATTCTATTCCAATCGCGTCATATTGAGTCTGCCATGAAAAATAGAAAAATGGAGTTCAGAGGTCGCCTTATGATGTTTGTGCATGGGGGTCTGAATTCATAACATGACTGTAAAATAATAGATGCAATACCTCTTTGGCAATATTGAGGCTTAGGCAATGAATACACATGATTAATAGCGACAATTACAAACAATTTCACATCCAAAGATTCCTATCGTGGCACAAAGGTTTAACTTTTAGACTTGGAACATGAAAAGGTGGAATTGACAAGAGTAAATCTTATAAATATCTATAAATAGGTCGACATGATCGACCTATCGGCAGGTCACTATATATGCTCAATATGAAACGTCCTACATGTATGTACAGTACATAATAGCGCATTTTCTGTTCATAGCATTAACACCTACCAGAGAGGTGTGGGTCCTAAAACAGTTCGGTTTTGAGAGTAAACCTTACAAATAGCCATAAATGAGGTTTACTAAGGTCAGTGGCCTCTCAAAGATTACAGGAGGTAAGATATGATTGTTTCCAAATCTGATCATCATTGCATGGAGACCAATGAGGAAGGCTTGCGTCATAGAAAAGTTGAGTTTTGAAGATTAATTGTTAAAAATGGTAGTAATGTAAAGGTAATCGATTCTTATAGGTCACCAGAGGTCAAATATGAAATGCGTCTTATATCTGAATAATTATCTTCTACATGGCATGAACAATCAGTATGCGAAGTTTCATGTTTTTAACACGAGGTGCACAATTCTTGGAAATATTTGGACAGTGCCGCTGATACAAGAACGTGTTAATGTAAGTTTTAGTATCTACTTCAGGTAATCGGTATGCCTGGGTTGCTTTTGCTGGGTGGCTCTCTGCATCATCTGCATCACATGTGCAGACCTACCCTTGTCCTGTCATGGCTACATTATATATGGAAAGCAGCGAAGCTTCAACATCTCAGTAACCAGTACAAGGGGAAGTGGTGGATGCTACCTGGCGCTTTTCACAGCAGTTTCTGTGCTGTCAGGTGAACAGTGGTTTATAGACCTAGCCCGGGCTGCTTCTGATCTGTACAGTCAGGTAGCAGTCAATTAAATCATATCCAACAGTCATTAGAATCGTGCTGTGGGTAACCATTAGGTAACACTCAAAGTATTGTCCCATCTGCATGAGGATTGAAACATCTTTTATTAAGAGAAACATGCCATCTATAACGGTATAACAACTTGTTATTTAGTTTCCTCGTTATTGAATTGATGGGCTTGCCACAAAAGTACCAAAGATGGTTGCCATCAATTGCGAGTACCCTGCCAGCAATGATTTGCTCGGGTTCCTCGGTATCAAAAACAAGGGGTTTACCACCAAAATGGACTTCGTACGACATTCAGGAGCAATGTATCTATTTCACTGAAATCCAAGATGGCGGTTATTTAGAAATATCCAAGATGGCTGCCATCAATTTTGGATGCCTCACCAAAAAATGTGTTAATTAGATTCCTTGGTATCAAACTGATGAGGTCTGCCACCAACTTCATACGAATTCCTAGTCCAAATTTATTATGCACATTGGTTTAAAATTGCGGCCATTTTGTCAACCCTGTCAACAATGATTTACGTGGGTTGCTTGGTATCAAAAACGTAGGATTTACCACCAAAACGGGCTTCATATGACAATCGTGGCCCAAAGTTATGATACAAATTACCGTAGGTCCTAAATAGCAGCCATTTTTAAATCCAAGATGGCTGACATTATGCTAGATGGAAGAAAAATCACCGATAGATTTGTCGTTAAGAAAGGTAAAATCTATTATTACAATAATTCCAATATGAAAAGTTTCACGAACAATTCAGTTCTGTCCACTTCCCACTTCTGTCTACGGCTCCTGCTTTGGCTGAATAAACGGAAAGAACGTAAACAAGAGGGACAAATACAGTAATTTAGCAAATGCGTGTGGGTGATTTGTGTATACCTTCGTGGGCTTGCCATTTCCAATCGGGCCCTCGCACCACCTTTGCTCCTGCGAAAATTCCGAAGGCCGTGAATCTCTTGGCGCCCAAGCGACAAGGTACCTCAACACTATGGGAAAACAAGCAAAAGCAGTGACTGATCCGTACAATCTCAGTTGATCTTGCTACAAAAAGCCAACTTAATCATTGATGTAGAAACCTAATTATATTGAACTTAGTAGCTTATTTAAGTCATCTTTAGAGAGCCTTAGGCCGTAGTTGATTTGAAAGAGCTCTGTATCAGTTGATGTTGCCGTTTGTCGGCATTTCGCACTGAAAACCTTCATCAAACCCTTTATTGTTTTGAGCAGCAAAATGACACTTAAAAAAAGAAATTTAGGACTCACAGACGTTTTGTTTTTGTGATTAATATTAACAAATTTGCACTGACACTATATTTGTTATCTAAGAAGACATGCATATTTTCATTTGAAAAATTTAGCCTGGTATCTCTTGTCCTATTTACATTTCTTTGTCAAACTGGGTACTTTCCGAATTCCAATTAAAACATGACTTGCCCTGATAACGTTGTGTTAGGCAAGCTCGTGAATGACACAGGCATTATGGCAGAAATGGGAATCTATATTTGGTCGTACCCGGGTTCATCACCAGGCTCATCTATCCTCATAAATGGATGGCGCTGATCATGTCTGCACTCGTTGTAACATCTGTGGCATAAGTCGTAATCATCACATTGCAGACACTTCCAACGGATCCCAACAACACCCCGCTCACTACAGCCATCACAGTCAACCAGTTCGTGTTTTACTCCTGTTTAAGACACAGAAAAGATGTATTCATAACGCGTCAAAAATAACCAGCCATGTATACATCATTTCATATTCTAGCCATTTGCCTTGTACACTTACGATGCACTCAAGAGAAATTCTTGTCGCGTTAAAGACATAAGTAAGCAACCAGGTGATATGCACTTATGAAAAGTTATAAAACCTTTGTTTTTAATGTTGTAATTACCTCGCTGGGCGTTGTCGTATATACGTAGATCAAATTGACCACCCTCTCTCCCGCTGCGATACTCGGCCAAAACACCTGAGTCCCATCGTACCCAAATTCTAGATTCTAAACAATAAAAATATTGTCTAAAACTAAATGCAAATTTCCACGGATTATTGCAGAGGGTGAAGAGAAGATGACACTACTTATCAAAAACTTCACTTCCTGCTTTTGATCGCGAATAACTCTGTTGATTTCTAATAGAATTAAACCAAACATTTAAATCATGTAAAAAAAGGTTGGTTGGCCGCGTCCGATCCATGAGGGTCATGCCACCGCGCCTTGGTTCGTTTGGTTTGCTCAATAAGCTCCTCAACTCGTTTCTCTATCTGGCAGTGTCGCAGTTTGTCCCGCACGTGGTCTTGGAAATGGACTAGTGGTCTTCTTTGAGCTCGGGCTCCAGTTCTGACTTCGCTGAAGTGGGTTCTCTTTGGAAGACTATCTGAGCCGGCGCGCCGTGAGGATAATGTGCATGCTTTCACATTGAGTGCGCTGTAGAAGCTTCACATTTGACACTCGATCCGACCACTTGACGCCCAGGATCCTTCTCAGTTTGCGCAGGTGGAAGCTGTTGAGACTGGTGATCTGCGCAGCATAAGCCGACCAGGCCTTGGATCCATACAGCAGCACAGACACACAACATACGCATTGTCGGCCTAATCTTGTTGCTTCCCACACGCGCCTCCTGAGTTGTCCAAATCAGCCCGCAACTCGTCAAATGCGTCTGTTAAGGTCCGCCTCCATGGGTACTTGAGACGCAAGACCCGAGGTAGCAGAGATCATCCACACGCTAGCTTCTTCACGTTAGCTAAGAACACCTAAGGTGTTACCTGGCTCTCGACTTATCAACCCATAAGGACCGTCTTTGTCTCACTGATCTGGAGTCCGAAAACAGGGTCAGAAGATCGGCCGCTGAGTGAGCAACGAGCGCGGCATCGTCAGCAAACAAGAGGCCCGTGACAGTGGAGCAAGACGCCGCGGTCTTGGCTCGGAAACGCTGCACATTGAAAAGCCCGCCGTCAGAGCGAGTGTGCTAGTAGACTTCCAGGGTGTTGCCGTCCAAGGAATGTTGTAGGAGGCATGAGTAGTAGTTGTTGAAGAGACATGGCGCCATCACCCAGCCCTTGCTTCACTCCGCATCTGACAGAGAAACTGTCCAAGACGTCGCCATCGAAGGAGACGCGGGATTCAATCCCGTCATGAAATGACTGGACAATCTTGAGCAACGTCGGTGGTCAGCCAATCTTCTCAAACACTTTTTTACAATCCGTCTCGGCATACCGCGTCGAAGGCTTTTGTGAGGTCCACGAATGTGGTGTAGAGGTTCGCACGCTTCTACCTGCATTTCATTTGCATCTCTCGTAGATTAAAAACCACGTCGATTGTGAGACCTTCTTGGTCTAAAACCGCGCTGACTCCCTGGGTAGACGCGCTCATCCAGAACCTGAAGCCTCTTGAGCACGAGCCTAGTCACAGCTTCCCGAACACGTTCAGCAAGGAGATCCCGAGATAGTTCTTACAGTCGGATTTTCCCCCTTGTTCTTGTACAACTGCATAAACTGAGTACCCTTGACACACTGAGGCACCTGCCACGTTTCCAGTGGCTGACGACCGAGTGATAGAGTTGCAGCAGGGCAGGGCTGTCCTGTACAGACCTTGAGAATTTCAGCTGGTATGCTGTCGGTACTGGAAGCTTTGTTGTCGGAGAGTTCACTGATGGACCGCAAGAGTTCCTCAACAGCAGTGACGGAGTCCAATTCAGACATACATGGCAGGTCTGGGAGTTTGTCAATGGCTTCAAGATCGATGTCAGAGTTTCTGCCGTACAGAGCACCCGTAGTGCTCCATCCAACGTTTGAGCTGCTGATCCGTGTCAATAAGAAGATTTCCCTGACGATCCTGCAGGGATGTCAGGGGTGCTTCCTTCCTTCTGGTTCGGTCAGACGCAGTATGTGTGCCGTCGTACATCTCGCGGAGGTTCCAAGTTTCTGCCGCAACTTGGATCTTCTCACAAAGATCCAGCCAGTATTGTGCAGCAGGTAACTGAATATTGCAGGGAAATCTTTCAATTGTGGATACAAGTACCAAAATCGGCACAAATACTCCTTAGGGGTTATTTTTGTAATAAAGCCAATTAGCTACTTAAACATTCAAGATGGCGGCCATTTTCAAGTTGGCCGCCATTTTTTTTTTTGCTTTATAATCACCAAGAGGGGGGCTAAATGGAAAATCTTGGCATCAAATCATACATTTGTGACCATGTGCGTGGAAGCTTGAATTTATAACTCTGGAAGTACTCAGAAGCTTCCTTATACCATATCTAAGCCATGCAGTCAAAACATCTGCTAACAGAACGATAGGCAGGCTAACATGCATGGTGGTGACAGTGGTAGAGGTATTAGCGGCGCGGCGCTACATGAAAACAGGAAGGCAGGTTGGCACTCTACAGACAAGTATCCGCTAGTAGAATCAGCACACATCTTGGTGGTGGGATTCTTCTGCGCTCTTCTTACCGGTAAAGAGTATTGCTACATATGAAGAATAGCACTGTTTTGGGTAGGTAGGTTTGCTTACAACACAAGAGTGTAAGATGTGGAAGGCGGGCGACGAGGAAGCATGAGCCATAAGCCAACCAAATTAAACCCAATAAAGTAAATCATATATGAATCGCCTCTTACCATTATCGGATAAAGCCGTCACTTGTTGGTACTGTGGGGCGTCAGCGGAGGAGGACTGGATCCGTCACGATGGTCTGGAGCTTTTGAAACTGGCTTTAAGGCCTGAACCTGAATCTATTGAGCTGAATAAGGAGGCAGTCAGGGAGCCAGTTAATCATCCTCTGAGCCTTAAACGCCTTCGGCTCGCACTTCATCAACCACATTGTCATCTCTTCTCTGTTGTAATTATCTGGCGTTTTATTTATATCTTTTTTTATACATTTTTGGTTAGAAATGGCACAAAGAAGCTCTGAAGAAGGAGTTATAATGTTGACTTTCCAATAATCAAAAACATAGAATTCAGTAGCAAAATAATCAAAATCCGTCAAGTGGGTTAAATTGTGTGTGTTTAAAATACGTGTTTATGCAGGAAATGGCGGCCATCTTGGTGGAATCCAAAGTGCTCCCAGATCCGTCCGGCGAAGATTATCTGACCATTGCTGCTCATTTTGCCGACACCATGTTCGCCAAGGCTGTCGGGTCAGTTCCCGCAGTCATTTTCAAACTCTGGCGTTGAAGTCCCCAATCACCAACAGCGAATCCCGTTCTGGAACGTAGCGAATCTCTTCTTCCACGATCACGTAGAAGCTGTCCCTCACAGAGGTGGCAGCAAGTCATTTTTTGCAAGTCCACGTCAAGTCACAAGTCATTGTTTGCAAGTCCAAGTCAAGTCACAAGTCATTAGGTCCAGTCACAAGTCAAGTCACAAGTCATTAGGTCCAGTCACAAGTCAAGTCACAAGTCAATTGGTCTAAACACAAGTCAAGTCACAAGTATCTTTGTCCAAGAACACGTCAAGTTGCACATTATTTTGTCCAGCTGTAATAAGCTAAAAGAACCTGGCGTCAACTTACGAGTTATTTTGAACATGCCTCCTTAATTCCCCTTTTTCAATGTGTTGCTATTACTATTCTTGTAGTTTATCACATATCTGTCGGATATTAGCCCTTTGTATACTTTAATAAATTTACTTTACAGAAATAAATTTTGAGATGACATGAAAAAAAGACTTCACTCACTCGATTACATGTAGTATACTAACACTTTATTGTTCAATGTTCATGTATACTAAACGCCTACCAATGGGTTAGGCTATCCAGTATTTTACATGCAATTGACAAAGGCCTGCTTTCTTTTCATGAAAGGTTCCTTTCAAAGTTTGTTCAACCATTACATTAAGCAAGAGACTTGGTCATTGAAAACTGTGTAGTTTGTTGTGACAGTCGTATTGAAAACTTTTGAAACTAGTGGGAACTATTCATTTTACTGGATTTAGCATCTGACTTGGGTTTGTAACAAGTCATTTTTTGCAATCCCAAGTCAAGTCACAAGTCATTGTTTGCAAGTTCAAGTCAAGTCACAAGTCAAAGCTGGTATTTACAAGTCAAGTCACAAGTCACAAAAATAGCGACTCGAGTCCGACTCGAGTCCAAGTCACATGACTCGAGTCAGCAACTCTGGTCCCTCACGTCCTCGTCCCTCTCCAAGTCGGTGCATATACACTGAGCATGGGCAGCTATCCGCTTTCAGCGCGAATCTGGATCCTCTTCAACCGCGGGGAAACGCTTACAGGAGTATCCACGTACTTCAGCAGGAAGTTCTATAGACCGAAAAACCGAAACCGTGCTCCTGAGCTTCTGTTCCAGGTTTGCAAATGCAGAAGAATGTTTTTTATGCTGCCTGTCTCCAACCATCTGGTCTCCGACAGAACCACAATGTCCATATTCAGCCGACTGAGTTCGTTGTTGAGTTTGTTGTTGAGTTCCTAAGTTTAAAATCACTATCCGAAATCCGTGGTCCAGTCCAGTTCGCGGCGTCCGTATATTTCAAGGGCCGGCCCAAAGAAAAGAGTTGTGCCCGGAAAGAGGAGGGTTTGAATGTTAAACACTCCTTTTATTAGGCCCTCCTCAGATTGTGGCGAGCAGGCCACTCGTAAATACGACTGCTCGGTCGCTGCAGTAGGACACGAAGTCCCGCTATACCACGCTGGAGTGACGACGGCCATCACACTGCATTCTTCGGCGCGGACGCCCGGGCAACATAGAGAACACGTGCTTGCCCAAAACGATGTGTTCCCCTTTAAGGACGAAGTCGGTGAATTCAGGGGCAGACGAATCTGACAGCTGCACCAAGAAGATCCTGTAGATTTTTTTTTTGTGGAGTGAGTTCTCCGGAGAATGGCCGTTGCTCCACAAAGAGCTCATCTGCCCTTTGACGGGTCTTAGTTTTCTTCCTGTCGGTGCCCTCACAAGATACGTACCGTGCCGAAGCTTGGTGGGGGAGCCGGTTTAGTTACAGGCCACCCGACCGTGAACAGGTTTTACTGGGTTACAACTGCTTGCCGGTAGCAGGAATACCTCAGCCTGTGAAGCAGAACACTGAACTGGCAGACAAGGTATGACCCATTATATTAAGACAGCCTCTTTCAGTTTTGTGCCGGAGGGTGATATTTAAACACCCATACGGTAAAAAATGCCCACTTTCAGAATTTGCCACTTTGAACTTGACGTCCTCCGATGTCGATCCAGCACTGGAGACGAGCTGAAGCCACGTGCTGAGGTTTGAAGCCTCTGAGGCATACAGCATTACTCCTGGTATCCTTGCAAACGATCGATAACGATCGAAGAGGTGTTCAATAAAAGTTGATCCTGTATAACTTTAGAAGCTCTAGGGCGTAGCACGTGGCTTCTGCCCCGTTTGCAACGCATTATCAACATCGAAGGACGCGTCAAGTCGGTAGTGACAAATCATGAAAGTTAATATAGTTTTTAAATCTCACTCTTTTGCACAAAGCTAATGAAAATTGCTCCATAAAAGTTGTCATATTTTGTTAATCACATGATTTGAAAGTTTTTAATTCCAATCGAAAACAACAGAGTTATTAAGGATCAAATGAAGGAAACGTTTTTTCTTTCACATGTGGTATTTACTGTGTGTTTTAATAAGACGTATATAAATTAAAGTGGATTCTCTTCAACAGTTAAGGTCACATCCTAAGGATGTATAAACACTGTCTTCTTCGCTGGTAAGTAAATTCGTGCTTCGATCTCGATAAAAAATAGGTTCAAAGTGATCTACCGCAGATATTGATATTGAAGTTTTAGTTTGAAGATTAATTTTCATATACTCACTGCTCTCTACGTCTTGTACCGGCACCACCGTTCCAACGCATCCACAGCCGCCATCCTCATTACCCCCCTGCCAGTCCGGACCACGTACGACTCGCATCCCAATAAACCACCAATCTCCTTTCTCCTGTTTGTCTGATTAATCAAGAGTGATGATTTAACATAAGTTTAAGCTATCAGTTACATCATAGGATGTTCCAGGGTGTTGGATTGTCAAAACTTAGTCATGAACGTTTTATTCCAGCACCATGCTGGAGCGAGATTGATACCAATTTCTTTCCCCAGCCGGGAGTAGGCATAAAGGGGTCTAATGTCTATAACTTACGGAGCATGGATAACAATGTTGTAGTTCAATTGGTGGATATATGCGCTTGGTAAGTACGCGTTATTGAATTAATTCTTATAGAATTACCAAGTGGTTCAATGCATTCTTTACCAGTTAGCTTTTCTTTGTCATGCACATCCCTCCCAGTCTCTGCGAGTTCCTTGACCGTAGTATTTCCTATTTCTCGACCGTCTTCCAGAGGTTCCAAATCCTGTTTGACTGAGATCTGATGTGTATCTTGGCCATCTGATTCAGGTTCTATGTCATTCAGTTCTCTCAGTTGGTCTTGGCCCAACGCTTTTGGTCCAGTACCTTCCAATGCTCTGTACTGTGGGGGGTCTGGGTAAATAGCAACATTTTTCTACCTCGTTATAATTTGTATTTTCTAGAATGTACAAATGATGTAATGTGTTCATGTTATTTTCTGAACTATATCGGTCGAGTCGCGCCAAGAATAGTCCTTAGAAATACTGAACAGAGATATTATTTACATGAAGGTAATGGCAGATAAGCGAAACATCTAAGCGTTCTGCCTATTTTTCTCTTGAGTTTTAGATACAAGTGCGACCTTGAAGTTTAATTGTATTATGTAAAATATCAGTTATAATTATATGCTTCTAAATGAGACGATATTGTCTTGTAAAGTGTACATACTATAATAGTTGATAGTGTCGCCCCGGAGATCTCTCCCAATTATCGGACAATTGGCAATGTTGTACTGGACGCTGACTACGACATTTGGCAGAACTGAATGTGGTTCTCTTACCGCCACTGTGCCATCAATCCGAGGATCATCCACCTATCAATGATTGTGAATTAGAAAATATCTGTCAGGAATACTTTTGCACGGTGAATCCTATCCGCATCGGCCTGGGAAAGAAAATGATTGTGCATGTTTTAATAATGAAGGTCAAAGAAATATATATTTTTTACCTGTATTGATGTTAGTTCGGCCTTGTATTGAGCAGTCTTGGCGACTAAATCCTGAATTTCGGGGCTGATCTGGGGCTGCTGTTCTGTTGATAACGATTACAAAAAAAATGAAGGATAATTGGCCGACAATAATTTTAATAACAAAAGTGGATCCGAGGTGGTTGTTTGATTTGCTCTTAACCACTTCCCCGACCGAATTATGGTAAATGTTTGCGTAAAAATTATAACTTTTCCTTAGTTCTCTGAATAACCACATTGATTCACCTCTTCAATTAAGGTAATTTGTCTTTTTTTTCGTGCGATAACTGCAACGCCTCCCCACTTGGACCGGCCCAAACTAACTGCCTCAAGTTGAAAACTGTGCCATGCTTTCCAGAGGCGAAGCGCATCACCAGTACTGTATATACATGTATACAGATTTATATTCTCTACGCTCTTTTCGTGTTCGTGTTGGTTTTCCCTTGACAATTTATTCTTCGCGCCTATTCTTTCAAACGGAACAACACACGGATTTCAAAATTGTTATGGACATCAATTCTGATACAAATGTGTGCATATAGGTGACGTCATGATGACGTTATCGGGTATCAAATTACAGGCGATTTTAGTTCCAAAAGGGACTGTGACTCTGTCTGTTCAGTTTAAATTATATTTCATGTATGCATTCAAAGTTCCTTTTGCATTAGGCTCGCTAGGCCATAGGTGTATGCACACAATTTTAGCAAATAATTGTGACATCATCATGACGTTATCAAAAACTTGCTTTCTGAAACTTATATAAGCGGATATTCGATCGTTATGAAACTTGGTGGGTGGGTAGGTACATTGATAGTAATACAAAATATAAGGTCATGTCATGCCATCAACTGATTTTGTATTATTTTTTTAAGTTTTAATGTTTCAGTATGTTTTTTGAAATTGCAAACATTGACAAGAATGGCAATACGATTAACTTCAAAACTAGACGCAGACTCAAAACCGAATATAACGTTGCGTTTTTACAAATGACTTCTTGATGACGTCATCATTAGTTATGTGACGTCATCTAACATGTACATAAAGCAAATGTCTATATCCCGAGTTCTAGCAATCAAATTGGAATGAAACTGTACAAATACATAGTAATATATGTGTTTTACTTGGGAAATATATTGACGTCATGATGACGTCATCATGTGAGATTTTACTGATTTCTCAATTGTGTCAATTTAAATAACACTTTATTCACTTCAACACAACCAATTTTTTTTCAGAACCTTACACGTGTGTTCATGTACATCCTACTTTGATGAAACTCCTACATGCCAGATACCACTTAAACTATTCCCGAGACAGCTATGTGTTTGTTCATAAACACAATTCTAGTTTTAAAAAAAAAGGAATGTGATAATGATCGAGTCCTGAGTCACGCAGTCCGATTCCGAAGCATTTGTCATCGTGACGCGAGTCCGATTCAAGGAAAATGGAACTGGAGTCGGTTTCGAATCCGAGTCACTAGTCAAACAAGTCTGGTGCTTATTTAACGTCATTGGCGTCCATTAAGATCGCACATATCAGTTTTAAATTAATCAGGACAATTTCATAACGACCTATTACAATACAATTTGTTGCAAATATATCAAAATGCAAGCCATTATCCCAGACACTGTTTATGTACCTACCGTCCATCATCGACCTCTCAAATATCGGTAGTCAAGAATTTCTGGGGGGAAAGACAAATATAGAACAACAATTAACTTCATCACATATTTGTTTTGGCCAAGTAAGAACTTGATTTATAACATTAATACAAATCTGTGGAAATTGGTGGATAGTTTGTAGAGATGTATTCAGTGCGATCCGCGCTTACGAAGATGTTGGCCATTTTAATTATCGCCGTTTCCATGTCAAATTGTCCATTATTAACAGATAACGTTTTACTTAGCACTGCTGACTTCTAAAGGAATAGAAAGTCACGTTACACTATACCGCACATTCCTCAACGTGCATTAAAGATGAACATAAATGTGTGTTACGACTAAAATATAGGAACAATACATCGGCTATAATTACTGTTATGCATGTAATGCCTGCAAAAAACAGTCATTATGTCATTCTTAACATGTCATTCTTTACGTTTAAGTTATTTAATTTAATAAAGTTTTTGAAAAAAGTTTTGAAAAGAGCATTGTTCTCACCTGTAGTCCTTATTATTCGAACCATCGAGAGATGATATGTTACTGATAGGTGGTTCTCCGATTAACTATTATCAGCGTCTACACAGGTACCGACATTCGGAGCATCCATCACAAATAATATATGATTACGCGCAATTAAGGTTGGAAGCCAGACATTGTTGACTGTCTATTTGCGTGCTCCGATACGGAAATCAAACAAACAAACTGCTGATGTCAAATGTCAAATTGTCTTTTACCTTTACACAGTAGTGCTACATGTAGACTCTGGACCCAAGCAAAGTATTATGAAGCCACTCATTATTGTAGCACGAAGATTAACAGAAATCGAAAGAAAGGAGGCTTCTAGGGCCTCGTTCGTTTATCGTGTCCCTTGCTCTGTTTCTGAAATATCGAAAACTGCGCCAAGCTTTGAATAAAATTGTCAAATCCTAAAGAAAATAAAACGAAGGCGTGTTTATATCACGAGTCACGTTTTTTTGGCGTGAGATCTTGCTGTTGCAGGGCGCCACCGACAATCTAGAGCCTGTTTGCACAGCGCGCCCTCACTGAGGACAGGTTATGTTAGAATGCCCAATACGTCTTCTTAAATTTCTTTGGTAGGTAATTCTAAAGCTTAAAAATAAAGCGTCGGTTGGGCATGATAAAGAATGTAAGCACATGCTAGTAAAAGAAAACTCGTGAAAGCAACCCCAAAAAGGATAGAAACAATTATATATTCAAAAATGTCCAACGTAGAGGATTTGATGTACAGTTTGTGTTAATCGTGAAAGGCACATTAGGATACCAAACAACGTATAATCCTCTTCAATTTGATTTTATTCCCTCATCCCATTATTTTGACGAAAAATGCATCGATGATCCATCGAAACCATAGTGTAACCACGGGTTACCACTGTAAAAGAGAGTCACTCACTTCCTTTATATGTTTGTTTCGATGGATCACTGACTGACTTGTCAAAACAAAACGAAACAAAATAGCCCCTCAGATGGCATGACATACATGTTAAATTATGAAAGAATTCAGACAATCCCGGCCAAAATGATCGGGACACATGACAATAAACCCTCGCCCTCTCCCCGGTCAATGGAGTCTCGTTCCCAGACCAAATGATTCTGACTATTCCTGATGAATCGTTGTCAGGTAGCCGTCAGTGATAAATTGTATTACAAATATTCGTCACGTGACTAAAACAAAAGTAATTCCTCCTTTTTCCAAAAATGTCCGAAGTTTGCCTAATTCCTTTGTCGACAATCGGATAGCGCCCGAGTATTTCCGAGTATGATTAACTGCTAACTGCTTATTAAAAACCTTTAAAATGGGTTGATAATAAATATTCATTGCTTTCATTTAGTAAACTTGAAACTCAACGACGACTTTGTGCATCAAGTATACTGGGATCGTATACGAGGGGCGAACTTTTTGCTGCGTCATGTACTATTTTGAATTTGACGACCGTTACCAGGATTGTCTAAAACTCGACGTGATCTCCATTCGGCTCTGCCTGCTAACAGTGCTATTTGGGTGCCTAATTTTGAAGATTCCAGGGCAACATCAGTCCATATTTTCTTGCAGAAATATATAACTTCCTATCATGACTGTATGTCAAAAATGATATATGAAGCAAGTGATTTATTTAGAAATTTAGACGTCTGGACGTCGAGGGAAAATTGTCAGGTCATGGAACCAGACTACGATCAATGTTGTTATCTAAATCAGCTGGACCACAGACCGCGCAATGAAAGACAACCCTCCCCTAAACTTGGCGCTGCTTTTGACACGGTTGATCACACAATCTTACTTAACCGCCTGAAGTCTAAAATTGGAATATCTGGTGCAGCTTTAAACTGTTTTATTTCTTATTTAACCGGTAGGAGTCAACGTGTTTTATTGAATGCAGAATTGTCTGATAAGTTCAACTTGAATTGTGGAGTCCCACAGGGTTCATGTTTGGGACACTCCTTTTTAGTATTTATTCATCTAAACTATTCGACATAGTAGAACATCTTCCTAACACTCACTGCTATGCCGACGACACCCAATTATACTTGTCGTTTAAACCTTGTAGTTCAGACAACCAAGAGCAAGCGGTGACTGCCATGGAAAACTGTATAAGGGATATACGACTATGGATGCTACAACATAAACTTATGATAAATGATGCCAAAACTGAATTTATCATTATTGGTAGTCAACAGCAATTAGCTAAACTGACTATATCTGGTATCAATGTGGGAGACTGTACTATATCACCTTCATTACAAGTTCGTAACTGAGGTTGCTGGTTCGACTTAAAATTGAGTATGCATTAGCAGATTACTACCACATGCTCCACTACCTTTTATAACATTCACAATATCAGAAGAATCAAGAAATGCTTGTCAAGAGATGCATTGATTACTTTAGTGCATGCCTTCACAACCAGTCGCCTTGATTATTACAACGGCTTATATTATGGCTTACCAAATTCACAATTAGTTAAGCTTCAACGAGTTCAGAATGCTGCAGCAAGGCTTGTTTGTGGCAAACCATCGTGGAACCATGTTACTCCTCTACTTTATCAGTTACATTGGTTGCCTATACAATCTCGAAAACACTTTAAAATCTTTCTGTTGACCTTCAAGGTTCTTCATGATCTTGCTCCCAGATACATTATAGATATGTTGAAAGTTAAGGTCCATTCCAACTATTCCCTGCGGTTCAACGGGCGGTTGCTTTTAGATTATCCGTCTGGGAGAATGCAAATGACTATGGGGGATCGTGCATTTGCACAAGCCGCTCCTAGCTTATGGAACCAGCTACCACCTGAAATTCAGGCTGTTCAGTCTCTAACCGTTTTTAAAATTAAGCTTAAGACTTTTCTTTTTACAAAGGCATTCGTATAAGGTTTTACTATTATCTATTTTAAATGCAGGTCTTGTTTTTGTAATTTAAGTTTCATTGTTTTGACAGTGTTTTCAAAAATGTGTAGTGTTTTTTACATTTAAGACTAATGTTTAATTCGAATTTGTACTTTTAATATTTTAGCTACTTTTGGATTTTGTAATGCACATCAGACTATGTTCTCCCCAGCCAGTACTCAGCATTTCAAGCGCGTGCAGGGTAAGTTCTCAGGGTTTCCCCAACAATCCATTTTCTGTCGTGCCCAATATTTGGCAAGGTAGTTATATTTACCACGTGAACTGGGGTGCTGCCTGCCTGCCCCCCTCCCCACGCCCTCCCCCCCCCCCGTGCCTAGCATGGGAAATGGCCCATGCTCGGGGCACATAATTTCGAGGGCTAAAAACAAGACCCGGCTATGTCCAAAAATGACATTTGGAGAAAACCAAGTCTAAAAGTTTGATTGTACCTATATAATCAAATATTTAGCATCAACTGTCATCTTCCAGATTTTGCTAAGCTCATACTTTGTCAAAGGGCATCTGGGGTCTCAGCTAATTAAACCCCTTGGTTGGTCAAAAACCGCCAAAAATTGACATAACCAGTTCCGGTTCATTATTACCATGGCAATATCAGGCCACTCCAACAATTGCTTTTGGAACAAAACAGTAAATGTTGTTTGTAAACAAAGAATTTTAAAGTATTAACAAATGCCATTGTAAATTGACAATTTGAATATTTGATGGCGGTTGGCATCCGAAGCAACCCCAAAACCTTGTGTCCTGTCTATTCTTCTTCCATCTAGGGCCAAAAGAGACATAGCATAATGGGTATGACATAATTATGTCGGATATAATCGCCGACGAACACAATGTGTCGGACAAAATCGGCCTTGGACATAATTGGCCGGTCAAAATTGGCCTTGGACACAATGGTTCGGACACAATCGGCCGTCGGCCGTAATTGGTCGAAACGATGGGCCGTCGAACATAATGGCTCAGACATAATCGGCCGTCGGACATAATTGGTCGGAGATAATCAGCCGTGTCAGTCACAATTGGTTCTGCGGACGCATGAGAAGCAATATTCGTTGATATATGTGATGTGTGTGTGTGCATTATTTGACACACACAACCTGTACATACATTGAATACAGATGGCTTAAAATAGGTATACGTATGTGATTTCCTGGGAAAGGTATTAGTGTCTAGTGGTGCGGCAAAGCCACAATATGTTTAAGTATTGTGCAAATTGTGATAAGGGCATGAAACTTCGCATGTTTTTTCTTCATGCCATGACAACATTTTTCAGATATGGAGGCATTTCATATTTGACCTCTGGTGACCTTTAGAGGTCAATGAATTTTCCATACACTTTTCATAACTTTTGTTCTTCAAAAGTTCACTTTCCGATGACCCGAGTCTATGTCATAGTTCTTCATACAATGAAAATAATGATCAGATGTGGAAAAATTCATATCTGACCTCTGGTGACCTTTGAGAGGTCAATTACCTTTCTTAACCTGTTTTTAGCTATTTGTAAGATTTATTCTTTAAACTGCATCTTTTTTTAACGATTCATTACTTAATGAAAGGTGTTCATGCTATAAAGAG